GTTTGCGAAAGAATGGCAATCGTCCAACTTAAGACAAGACTTATGACAAGCGAAATCACTGGCCTTGTTAAAGGTTAATCCGCCTACTTCATAAGAAGAAGTGCGTAGTTCCCAGAAGCAGAGGGTCTCTGAGCCATGTGCCAAACAAGAAATCCATCAATGCACATGTCGAAACAGGCACTGCAGCACGGCAAGGTATGATTAGGAGGAACGACTTCAACTTTTTGAACAATAACCGCATGGTGCTGCGCTTTTATGCAAGTAATACATTTCTGCAATGAGCACCGTCTGAGTACCAAAACGGGTATAAGTATACCTGCCTGACGAAAGCCTGTGCACAAAAGTCGATAAACGGTTTAATAACAATATCATCAGTCTTACGACGCTCTATAATGGATGAAATCCGGCGCGTCCCCGCATGGCGGATAGACAAAACAGCCTCAAGATACGGAGGTTAGCTGCGAAAAATAAGCAGACGCAGACAGGCATAAGTGAGACCACAAGAGCGCGCTAGGTTCGAGCTCAACAAATCCGATCATCAGAAAACAAACCACATGCCCAATGATGATGTCGAGAGGAAACCCCCCCCTTGAGGAAAAAAACCGCCAATATCGTCACTACCTTGCGGTTAGACGTCGGTTCGTCAAAGGCTAGAAGAGACGACTTGGACAATAAGTCGAACGGAATTTGGGAACTCATCTATACGAAATTATCCAGGCCATTCTCAGTCCTGCCAGCGAGAGGCAAAATCAAACGCGCTATGACAATAAACTGGCCTAGGTGCCCTGCGCGTCGTTCGAACCGTTCCAATTCGGTATTCAACTGGCAAGGGCAGCAAAGAATCCCAGGAGAAAGCCCGCATTCTGGTACACAGGGCCGAAGTTTTCTTGTCGCTCGCACTGACAACTGTAGAACACTGACGATGGAAGAAGCGTCAAACAAACTAATAAAGGAAAGGCAAGGGATACCCTACGACATGCTTGGCCTCAGGAAGACACGACGGCTGACGGAATCTGGTGACACATTAGTCTGATTTGACAGTAGACTTGACTCGGAAAAGGAGGGCGCAAAACACATATGAGGAATCCGATTTATACTGAAGAAAAGCTGGTCATCCAAAATCAACTCCTGTTACGCGAAGTCACCAAGACTAGGCGTGCTATGTCTCCAACAGAACAAGAATAGGATCTTAAAGATCGCCAACCTGTTCTCCCAAAAGTGGAAGAATTCTATCAACTAAAACAAGCACTGGTCCCATAGTTCACGTATACCATCGTCATAGAACTCAATGCCAGAGTCGTACGAGGCATGTTCTGGTGAAACATGTGGCTATAATTTCCTCTGACACACATGACAGCTGATCATACGGTGTGATATACAACACAAGGTGAAAATCCCGCTGTTGCTGTTTATTTTGCAGCATTTCTGCCAGTAAAAAAACTTTAACACTTGTCTTCTGGTCG